TCGAAATATTTTACCGTCCCGGTACATAATTGACACCCTGTATAATCCTCCGTTGTGTGTGGCTGCAGCTTTTAGAAATACACTATAGTATAGAATTTATCGTGCGCATCGCTTTTATTGGTTTGTAATTTTTTAAATTAATTTGTTAAAATTTTATTGTTTGTTTTTATATCGAGTTTTTTAAAATAAATTCAAAATGTAAATGTATATTGCTAGATTATTCATCTTTAAATCTATATAATATTTATGATTATTATTATTATTATGGATAAAATAAAAATGTTTAGTATACATTGAAAGAAAAGGTTGGCTGAATATGATGTAATTGGTTGCAGCAGTTAATTAAAAATACTATGCCATATTTTACCGTCTATTTTGCTGTAACAACCAATCTTTCTTTCAGTGTAGATAATAGGTATAATTCTAAGTTTTTAACAGTAGCTATGAGCTTGAATGCGACAGAACATATATTAGTGGCCATCTTTGATTGTTTGTAATAAATCGTTACATTATGAACATTTATGTATAATGTATTGGGATTTTCTATTTCAACTGGGATTGAAAATGTGCTGTTAAAGAGTACTAGGTATATAATTTCGTAACCTATATAATATTATAAAAATAAAAAGGTTAATATATAATGTAAAAAAATCACAAAATTAATTTAGTTGGAAGTGATCGCAATACTTTGCAATAAATTATATATTTTTTTTAATTGAACAGAAATTCAATATATAAATATTAATTAACATTTGTAATAAAACTTTGGGAAATCCATTTTATAAAAATGGATAGAATAAAAAACTGAGCCGTTGGTGTCCAAATTTGTTCATCATATTATCAATGAATTTATCTATAACTTGTGTTAGTTGGTGCTCAAATTTAAATTTTTTTGAACACTCCCTTATAAGTAATTCTGCCGCCGTTCATGTTTAATGACAAGTTATATAAAATAAATGATTAAGTTAAAAAGTAATTTTCACGAAAAAGCATTCCTTTAAATTATAATTCTCTTAAATTGAATTAAACTTTACATCTGTATTATTATTTAAGAGAATAGTGGCTTAGCCTATTTAATTAATGCATTAAGACATATTTATTTTTAAATCATATGTCAATACCAACGTAATTAAATTGGGTTTTCTTTCAAAAATTGCATGACATTTGAAAAAAATTTTGCATGCTTTTATTTTTATTATTATCTTCTTGTTGTATGCAAAACGAATATATACCCAAAAGATGTTTTTACTAATTAAATAACGAATTTTTAAAGGTAATATAATTAATAATATAAATTTAATAGTTAAATAATTATAAAGTTTGTTTATAAGATAAGATTGTACATGTACCTAAAATGAATAATTCAAATTTTATATTTATATCTATATAGGTACTATAGACTTTAATTACATTTTCGTGATCTCGAATAATATTTTAATGTAATATTTATACTCAAACATTAAAATATCTTACACTGCAAAATGTGGCCATTGTAACAGGAGACACTTTTCCAACGGTGAAACAAATTTGTTTAGGACCCCTTGTCATTAAGAACAATATATCTTCTGTATCTTTTGGAACCATAGTGTACCATTTATTACTATATGTCGCATAATATATTTTATTGCACTTAAAAATATTAAAAGTACGTTTAGATATTAATTATTATATATATTAAAGTCTTTATTCGGTTTATGTATAATTGCAGTTTTAAAATAAATGTAATATTGTGATATTGTAGAGAATATCATGGAGAACATAGTTATAACTTACTATATAGAGCGGACTAAACTGAGTCGGAAAGTCCTCTATCATTTTGCAATTTTCGCAATAGTTAATAAGATATTAATCACTAAAAATTGCAAAATATTGGTCTTGAATAATTTTTTATTCAAATACTATCAATTTTACAGAAAAACTGCAAGAGACAAAAATTATTTATTTTTTTCTCATGAAGTTCTGAGAATTTTTTCAGAATTTTCTCAGAATTTTTTAATACCGTATTTTTTCATGTTAGTAAAAATAAGAAAATGCAGTACTAAAAAGTTGATAAAAAATTCTGAAAAAATTTTCAGAACTTTATGAGAAGAAAATAAATAATTTTTGTCTGTTGCAGTTTTTCTGTAAAGTTGATAGTATTTGAGTAAAAAATTATTCAAGACCAATATTTGCATTGTTAACTATTGCGAAAATTGCAAAATGGTAGAAGACTTTTTGACTCAGTTTAGTCCGCTCTATCTACACAAAAGTGATTGGCAAAAAAGATTGGGATACTCTGTATATCTATAGAATATACATAGAGGGATCGGGATACCCTACATATCTATAGAACTATGAGATCAATCTCAGTTGATGTAAAGAAAATATATTATTAAAAGAAAATTTATCCAATGCGCAATATAAAACTACAAATATATTTTGCGAATCACATATATATTTTCTTTAGATCAATTAATTCATTCTATTATTCTACATAAAATATTAAGATTTATAATTAACGAGAAATGAATGTTAAAATTTTCAATTAGATTTACAAGATAGTTCATGTTTATGTCAAAATATGCTTATTAAAAAAAATTGTTCAAAAATTATAAAAATTTCTCAGTGCTATATCTATTTTGTACTTAAAATATTAGATATATAAGAGTTATTTTATTTATCTCAGTATTATTAAAATTTATATAATTAATCTGTAAATTATTATTATTATAATTTATTAATTAATTACATAATTAATTCAGTGTAATAGGTTTTTTGCGTCATAAGTGGTTGAAATTTACCTCTATTTTTCAATTAGGTTCTTGTTGTAAGAAGAACAGATATGTAACTGGCTGACGTTTTTATGAGCTGAAAAATATATTAATAATATTATGTCTAATATATAAGCAAATATACAAACTATTAAAACAAGCATTTAGTAAATCATCTACTGTTGAGTCAGATAATAGAAAGAAAATAATTATCATGTATAATTGAAGATAAATATTATATATGAATCTTAAGTTTCATGCGAAGAAAGATTTTATATGTATATAATATTTATATAACATATAACCAATTTTTGTTTAATGATTAAAGGCAGAAATTATATATATACTTATATATATATAATATTGTAAAATTGCAATTTATACATTTAACATCTTACGTTACAAAATGTAGCCATTGTCATAGGAAACACTTTTCCAGCGGTAAGATAATTCGATTTGTTGCTTCTAATTAACAAGACAATTAAACATTTTGCGCTTCTTGGCTCTAAAGTATACCATTTGTAGTTATACACAGCACTGTGAATTCGATCGCACTGAAAAAAAACCGTTAATAATTTTTTAATTTTTACTAGAAATTTAAAATGCCTATTACGGTCGAAGCTGGATCTTCATTTTTGCTTTAAATAATTTAATCTTGAATTACTAATATATGTATACTATATATGTACTTGCACATATACCATATTGTAGTCTGACAATTTTTCGTTTCGCGGGTTTTCTCCGTGTTCAAATCCATTCTTGGAATGCCAACTTGTTGGGAGGAGGGAGGGGGGGAGAAGAAAATTGTGAGTAGAGAGGGAGAGAGGAAGCCGGCCGGTTTTCGGTAGCCGGGAGGATGGACTTCCATATTTTATTTATGTTGTAGCCATTATCTCTATTCAGATTGTTAGGG